ACAGTGACATATGAGCATAGTGCATCTATGCATGATGGCACACACCTGTGATCCTAGCACAGGGGAGGTGTGGACAGAAGGTTCAGGAGTTCAACGCCATTCCCAACTGCACAGCGAGTTTGAGGCCAGCCTAGGCCACACGGGACTTTTCTCAATCAAAAATTGAAATAAATGGGCAGTGGCTAGTTAGGGCTCAGGGGCAACACTAGAGGTCTCCCTGCATTGGTTGTTCTGCCCTATGTGTTGATTGTGTGGTTCTCTGGACCATGGTGGTCATTCATTACAGCCACCCTAATTCAGCATCCTTCCAGGTTCAAGTGTAGCAGTAAAAAGCCTTCTCTCCAGCCTTGGCAGCTTCAGCCTTTAGACCAGCTGTGGTTAGTTCTATCTGGTCCGTGCTGGTAGCTGGGCACCTCCTTATGGGTAGGGAAGTGAAATGTTGCAATTATACTTGAAAGTTGTTCATCTCTAGTGCTGCAGACACTGATGGGACAGGGAGGGTACTCCACGGGAGGGTATCCCACCATCTCAGCATCAATGGGGGACAGTCAGGTGCGGTTTTCCCAGGAAAGGGCAGGATGGGTGGACAAGAGAGGGGTGTGTGTATGTGTGTGTGTGTGTGTGTGTGTGTGTGTGTGTGTGTCCCTGTCTGCCTGCCCGCCTGCCTATCTGTCTGACTGTCTGTGTCTGTGTCTCTGTGTGTACATGCATGTGTCTGTGAATGTCTGAGTGTATGCATGTGCACATATGTGTGTCTCTGTGTGTATCTGTGTGAACAGGAATTAACTATGTCACACTCTTCCAATCAACTGGCCCTCCCAGTTCAGCCATGCCCACCTGGCTCTGTCCTGCTCTGCTCTCTGCCCATCCTGACTGTAGCCTTGGAAGTCACTGCCTTTTGGAGAGCCTTCACCCAACTGGAACCAGCCTTAGCTTCAGCTGGCAGAAGCATGGGGCTCTGGTCCCATCCTCCACAAAGGTCTTCTAGCTCAGCATCCTCAGCTAAGGCAGGGACTTTGGGATGAGAGAATGGATGCTAGAAGAGTAAAAGGGACCACCCTGGGGTAAATGACCGACCTGTACCCCAGCGTGTGCTCAACTGGAAAGAAAAACCAAATCACTCTCTGTCCTCAGTCAACCCAATTGCCCTGCTCTTCCCTGAGTTGAGTGTCCTGGTTGGGACACACAACACTGCGCAAGAGTATCATCTTCTGGGAAGGACTTTCCCAGTGAGGCCATGGTACCTGTGTCACAGCTCTCCACCCTGGCTGGCTTCCACAGAGCCCCAACATACTTTAGGTCTGAGAGCCAAGCCCATCCTATAGGCACACTGATGGCCAGCCTGGTGTTTAATAAGGAACAATAATATTTAGTGGGGGACTTATTTAAAAAAAAAAAAGCCTTTATTCCAAAGATCAGATGTTCAGTCTCTTTTGAGAAATCAGAAGCCCTATGTCCCTGAACCCACATTTTGCCCATCATCTATGGCAGGAACTGACCCAGGTGTCTAACCCCATGTCCCTCGCCCCTCACTGCCTCCTGGCTTGGACAGCAGGCAGCATCATATCTCTTCACCTGTGTGGGTCCCAGGCTTGCTGGGACAAACCAATACAACTTTGGTTGCTTAAAAGAATGTGGTGTCTCTGGTTCTGGAAGTTCAAAATCAAGGTGTTAGCAGAGTCACAGTCCCTTGCTCCTCTGTGTCTGGTGACCACAGGGTTCCTTGACTTATGGCCCCATCTTCATATGACCTTCTCTTTGTTGGCGGTTGTTTTTGAGTCAGGTAGCACTCAAATGACTGGTCTCTAACAATCCCCCTGCCTTGACTTACCATCAGGGCACCCGCTATGCTCAGAACATCTTGTCTTCTAAGGACACTTAATCACTGGGTTAAAAGATAATGGGACTGGCCTCCCTTCAAGATCCTTAACATAATTACATCTCCAAAAGCCCCTTTTATGAAATTAATTATGTGTATAGGTTCCTAAAAGTCGACCATTCATTCTACCTTCTTCGGTGCCTTGCTTAGCTCTGCTGTGATTTGGGGAGGAGAATCCTGTCTACTTCTCTAAGCTGTTGTGAGGACTGAATGAGCCAGAGAAGTTTATCTGTGATGTGGCATTATGTCAGCCCTGGGTGTTGTTAGTGTTGTTGATGGTCTGGAAGGGCAATGAGATGCCACCCCTTGAGGATGGGGTAGGACAGTGTGTCTCTGGTCAATGGCTTGGAGTACCTAGCTTCTAACATGCCTGATGTCCTTCACCTTTCACAGACAATGGCCCTGTAGGCAAGCGGCGCACAGGTACGGCCACAGTGTTTGTCACAGTTATGGATGTGAATGACAACCGGCCCATCTTTCTGCAAAGCAGCTATGAGGCCAGCGTCCCAGAAGACATCCCAGAAGGCCACAGCATCGTGCAGGCAGGTGTCAGGCTAGAGCCAGGCAGGGCTATGCTCAGCCCTGAGGTCACTGGTTCAGCTGCATCATGTCATAAGCGGTAGGGACAGCAGAGGTCCAGAGTGACCTGGAAGAGGCTTGTACTTCAAGGAAAGGGATACATGGTCCCTCCTCTCTTCTGAGAAGAGTGGATCCCAGTCTGAGTGAGCTGAGAACAGGGCCCTGGCTCTCCTTAGCCTCGCTGAGAGCCTTTCAGAGCACTGGGGAGGGGAGAGTAACTCTTTCCTGGAAAGGACTCAAGGAGCGAGAGCCAGGACTCAGCAAGGCTAGACAGAGTGGCTTTCACAGCTTCTTGGCCACACTCCCCTCTTGGAAGAAAGCAGGCAGAAGAAGAAAGGGCTCCTTGGCCCAGAGTAGGAGCAACAGCTAAGAGGCCCAGAGGGAGGATGACCCTGAAAATGAAGCGTGTGTATGTGCAAACACACACACACACACACACACACACACACACACACACACACACACACGGTGGGGGCTGCTTAGTTGCTGAGGGAAGACAGGAACTGAATGGCCCACTTCACCAGCCTCAGTGTTTTCCATGTGATCCAAGGGTGAGCCAGTCTCAACAAAGATGGGCCTGATGCTATGGCCTGTTACTAGCTCAGGAGGGAAGGGAGAGTGGGAGGTAGGAGAGAACCTGCCTCCCTGTGAGTGGTCAAGAAAGGAACAGAGAGCTGCCTCAGTAGAGTCCAGAAAGGCCAGAGACATGCAAGAGTCCAGTGACAGGCTCCCAAGGGAGAGAGGAAATGGGTCCTCGCCTGCCCCCACCCCCACCCATGAAGCAATGGAACAGCACCCTAACTTAGTACCTGCCATCCCCAGCTCACTGATAGGCACCTCAGAACCTGTAACTCACCCAACATAGCAGGCCATGGGGGAATTTAACCTAAGATGCTCTAGGAGGGTGAAGAGGCAAGGGGGTGCTCAAAGCCCTTTGGAGAAAAGCTGATTTGCTTCCTGGCCCTGAAGTCCTAGTTTCTATGTACATTAGACTTGGGAGCATATCGTAGAATCCCCGAGTGACACAGGGCTCCCCTGTTCTCCTCACTTCTCAGATGTTCAGAGTCTCAGGGCATTTTCTCCCCCAGGCTCTGCAAAGATACCCACCCCACCCACACTCTTATTACAAGGATGCAAGAGGAAGGGACAGTGACCTCACCTCCATAGCATGCTTTAAGGGTATCACAGGGAACACTAGGCCATTGGTGTAGGTCAGGCTCGCAACAGATGCCTGCTGCCTTGGGGACACAATGAGTACTGGGACAAGATGTGGCTCCCTGCAGCTCTCAGGCTTGTAGGAAAGAAGGCAGGCATGCTGTTGATCTCCCTGAGGCAGATGAGAGACCAGAGGAGCTCCAGACAGAAGGGCAGTTCTATTGCAAAACAAAGAAAGCTTCATAATGCAGGTGCCGGCAAAGCTTAAACCATACACAGGGAGGACAGATCGTTCAGTTGTCTTAAGGGTCTGGTCAGGATGAGGCTAGGAAGATAAATCACAGGCAGCTGCTGTGCCCACTGCACACGGTGGAACAGGTACATCCAGTGAGCAAAGGGAGCCAATGAGAGCTCTTGATCTGAGCTTAGTCCTTGGGAATATTGGATGACTTTACTCTGGGTCATAGCAGGGTAAGGTGGGCAGCCCTGTGATGCAGTCCCAGGTCACTTGACTCTGGAACAGGACCTAAGCATCCCAGGTTGCCTCTGCCTAATCTTCAAGTCTGAGATGCAGCAGATAGCCGTGGAAGATGGGACAAAAGGCTGGGATTCCCAGCGGCCCACACCGCACGCATGGCAGTGGTTCTGCTTTGACAGGTCTCTTGATAAAGTTGTTGCCACAATACATAGAGCATGGCTAGTGCTAACCTGCCTTGATCCTATTGCTGCCCTGAGAGATCTGGTTTATGCTTGCTGAGTGGAGACCACCCAGTGAGACATGGTACCACTGCCATGCACCCTCAGAGTTCAGTCCCTGCGGGACTGGCAGTGGCCAGGCTCCTGCCACAGGGTTACACCCTCCACCTAGTCTTGAACAACAAACTCTTTTTTGTATGTTTGTCTGACTTGTTTTGATTTCGTTTGATTCAGGATTCCATGTTGTAGCCAGGCTGCCTCGAACAATCCTCCTGCCTCAGCCTGTTGCATGCTGGGATTACAAGTGTGAACTACCACACTCAGCATATAGGAAACTTCTTCTGTAGGCTGATGTCTTCAGGCCCTCCTGATCTGTCCTGACAGGAGGCCACAAAAGGGGTTCCCAGGCTCAAAATTTGATGCTTACCAGGCCCCTGGCTGGCAACCAACAAGATCCACAAGAAGGGACAGGAAGGTCAAGAAAGGGATCCTTGCATCCATTTCCCCGGGGTACTAGCTTAGCACAGCTGTAGGGTAGTGTAGACCCAGGGTAGGCAAACATCCCACTTAGCTGAGGTGTCTGGGCTTTTAGGCAGCTGCTCTAAGAAGGGCCTTTAGAAGATGAGCAAGGCTTCTGAAGGGGCACATGGCGCTATTCCTGGGATCAGTAGATACCTTGCGTCTAAAAAAGGGTGCTGTGGTACCCCAAGTTACAACTCAGGGCTACAAGGTAAAGGTTAGAGGCCTATGGGTATTTTGATCCAAGGATCTGTTAACAAGCAGAAGCAGGGGCCCTCAGAGTCTTCTGGGAAAGGACATGGGCTGGATACACAGAGAAATACTAGGGAGGGGCCGTCCAGGATATCACTGTCCTACAGCCAGCAATGCCAGGCTGCATAGGAGGCAGGCTGACTTTGGGCTATCTTGTGTATGAATGGGCACTGTATCACATCTTGGTGGCTTCAGTGAAGTCACAGTCACCTTGGTGGTCATCAAGGCCCGGCAGAGGACTCTGCTGGACAGCAGGCCTGCCTCGCCGGAAGCTGTGCAGAGAACGACGTAGTGAACCCAGGCGCTTCCAGAGCCGGAGCCTGGGCTCACTGGGACTCACTGGATGATGTGGCATGCATTCCCGGGCCCCTTGACGACCAGGGTCCAGTGCAGTTGGCTTACACAGCATCATGAATAGTAAGCAAGAGGCCAACAGCAGAAAAATGCAGGCCAGGGCGATGAGAACTGGTACAGGATCATCAGCCTGGGTATAAGTCCCAGAAGTGGTAGGAGTCATAAGGAAGGCTGGAGGGCTGGGGAGGTTGGAGCTCCCTGTGTTCATGGTGCCTGCAAGGACAGAACTGAGAATCAGGGCAAAGCAACTGCATCCAAGGCAGGGGCATGTGAGACTCACCTAGAGCACGCCAATGGGGGCTGAGCAGTTAGTCAGGCTCTCTATGATGTTCTTGTCACAGGTTAGTACAGAGAGGCCCAGAGAAGTATTATATATAGCTGATTAGTAATCAGGCTGGGTCTGAACCTGGGCTTCTCTCTGCCCTGAAGCCATGAAGAGCAGTGTACTGAAAGCATTCTGACATTTTTTATAATCAGTTCTCAGCAATTACCACAGTCTTAAGCCTAAAAACCCACATCTAAGCCCAAATCTGTCGGTAAGCCACTTAATGAATTAAGAACAAGTCAGAGTATAAGATGCTGTGGTGGGCTGCTGGGGACCCTTACACTGGGCTAGGGCCCCACACATGTGTTTTGATGGTTGCTTGGTTGTTTTCAATCTATTTGTGTAGTGATGCATGCCTGTAATCCCAGCACTCTGGAGGTGGGGGTGGAGCAATAGAAATTCAAGGCCAGTTTTGGTTAGTAGATTTGAGACCAGCCTGAGCTCGGAGAGATATAGAGCTCTATATCTCTATAACTCAGAGAGATACAGAGATAGAGATGATAGATAGGTAGATAGATAGCTAGGTACATACATACATACATACATACATACATACATACATACATACATACATACATACACACATAGATATTTAAGTGCCTTGCTTCTCTTGAAATGCCAGAATCTCACTATTGGCTTCTCTGGTGTCCACTTTACAGAGGGCACTGGCCCTAGCTGGCCACACCCCTTCATGCCCGCCACATGCTATCCCACCTGCCTGGATCCATGGGTACTTCTGTTGCTACTTCCTGATGCAGTCTAACCTGCTCCCAAGGAAACTGAGGCCCAGCATGAGAGGCCAAACCCAAGGCCACATAGGCAAACAAAGAGAAAGACAGGATGTCCCGACTCCTGATCCCATGCCTGCCCTCTATTAGGCCCCCAACCCTCTCTGAGTCACTCAGACAACATTCGAGAAATACAAACCATAAAGAGTTGACAGAGTGAAGCCAGAAACCTGCCCTGTAACATCATTCACCTTCCAGACATTTCCATCATCCCTTCAGAAGATCCATCCTGTGTGGGGAATGCCACAGACTGTCCTCTTAGACAGAGGACCAGGCTAAACCAAATGACTGGTGGCTGGTGATGATAATTCCAGAGCCCTGGGACAGGTAATGCATGCCCAAAGAAGATAGATAGGCAGCTCCAAGAGGGGCCCTGGCTGACCCCCACTGGTCCTTGGGGGATATAGAAACTTTTGCCAGGTTCTTCAGCCTTCTCAACTGAGTCAAGAAAGTTTTTGTTTGTGTTTTTTTAAGGCAAACATTCCTGCTATTTAAATATTGGCAACTAATTTGAAGTTGTTTGAAGCACAGAAGAAAGACAAGTATTATAAAATGCTAGATAAACGTGATTCCAAAAGTTTTGAAATCAATTTTCAAATATTGGATTGCTACCCAAGCCAATCAAAGCGCACAAATGGCCTCCATCCAGCCGACAGCCAGCCCAGCATCTGTACCTTTTGAATTACACATCCCAGTAGAGAAAACCCAAAGATCCAAACAGAAGTTTATCCTCACTCTGACCATAGAGCCTCACCTGAAGTAGAGGGACAGCAGCTTCCTCCTTCTCAGTTTACTTTGCATCTCCCTCAGGCTCTAGCACCAAAGCCAGAACCCTAGGGGAGGCTCAGTTATGCCAAGGCCCTGCCTGTAGTTATGGGGAATCACAGAGCATGGCCACCTTGGCCCCTTATCCCCTACAGCCCTTGTCCCACCTGGGCACTCACCAGCAACTCCGGGACCTAACTCCTGGCTTCTGGGCACAGCTGACTGAGGGCATTCAGTGCTCTTCACCCACCTATCACAGTCTCTTACCCCAACCCCTCCCAGCCTGTGAAGCTGCTCCAGGATGGAAATTCTGATGCTCTGTCTAACTGCTCAGGGCCTCCACCCTTCAGGCCTTGGGCCTGGAAACTCTCTGAGTGGACAGCATCCACGGATCAGCTCTTCCTGGAGTCTGAGCTGGAGTAGGGAAGGCATACCATCCCCCATGGAGAGAAATTATCCCTTGGCTCTCAGCGCTGGGCACCGGTATGGAAAGGTCAGTCCCAGCCCAGAAAGGCCTCCATCCTGCTAGTTCAGAACCCAGAGAAGCTGTGGGGCTGTAAGCCCCAGAGCCACTTCTGCATGAGCATCTGAGCCACTAGTGTCAGTGACTTCCAGCTGCTTGAGAACAGGCCCAGGAGTTTGGGGCAAGCCTAGCTGCTGGATTCCCTGCTGCCAGCCAGCAAGAACAGCTGGTTCTGGAGGAATTACTCCTGAAGCCCAAGCATGGAGCCCCCTTCCCAGTGGAACCCTCCACTGAATGTACTCCTCTACAAGCTCTCCCTAATACTTTCCCTTCGAATCCCACAGAGAAAGTGTGACCTTAGCTTAGCCATTCCCCTTTGCTGGACCTTATTTATTTTCTCAGAGCAATAGAAAGGACTCCCCAAATCTGAGCACACCTTCATATCCTCCCAAGTTCCCAGTAAGGGTCTCCCCCAACTTCTTTCACTGGCTTTCTCTACAGTCCTTCAACACTGACCTCGGGCCTACTCTTGGAGGTCTGTATTCTCAGTGGCAAAATCTCTCAGCTGTCCCAGGAGGTCCAAGGTGTATCAGCCGATGTGTCCCTATGTGTTGCTGTGCTTATAACAGGCTGGCTTTCTCCATGATTCCCCTGCTGAGCCTGGTTTTGTTGGGAGAGTCCAGCCCTGCCTGGGGGAGGGGACAACTGGGACTGTAGAGATGGCAGCTGAGTGGAAGAAGGAGAGGGGGAGCCCTCCTGTGTGGCTCACTCTAGCCTGTCTCCTTGGAGCCCTCTCCTGTGGAAACACTGGTGACAGCAGGGGACAAGTTTAACTGCCTCATGGGCTCCCATCATCCCCCTTGGAAATTTCAATGGTACGGTCGACTATTCAATGCCTGCCAGCCCCCAGGTTACCAGGGAGAGGGTCTGTTAGCAAAAAGACAGCAGCAGGAGGAGAACCACAGTGAAGGGCCCTGGACCCCCCTCTCCCGCAAAGACCCCCAGCAGTGTCCCTGGGCTCGGTCCTTTCTGGATTCTTAGAAGAGCATCCCTTTTAAGGTGTCTGGCTATAGAAGTGAGGGCAAGAAACATTTTTCAAATTCCAGAATGCGGGACTGAGGGACAGCCAAAGACAGGGTATTCACAGTTTGTGTGGAGTACAAGGCTCTCAGCAACCCTCCCCCACAACTCTCCTTCTTCCAAGAATCCCAAACTTCCCTGGCAACCAACCGCCTGCTTAGGGGCCCAAGTTTTGTGCATCTTGTCTACCAGGGGCCTCTGAGGTCTCAGAATGCAACATGGTAGTAGTCACGGCTATACCTAAGTCCTTCACCAAAAAAGCAAAGCATTATCTCCCTACCCTGGAGTGGACAAGAGCCTTCCAGTGTACTGTTAAACACCTTGGTGACCCAACATGGTCCCTCCCAAGGGTGACAAGGCCAATAAGTTAGTGCTGGGTAGGAATCCAGTGTCTCCCTAATTAAAGGACAAGAGCCCTTGCCACAGACAAACGGGGACTCCAGTCTCTCTGGCCACTCGATCTTTGCAAGGAGGGCCCCTCTATGATCCTCCTCTCTCCAAGTATGTCCAATCCAACGAGTGAAGATGGGAAAGTTTGTCTTAGAGCTTTGAACGCCAAGTCACAAAATCCCTGGAATGACCCCTGTGGGGTCACAGGTACAGCTGAACTTACAGAATACCAAGCACCAGGACACTAGACATTTAGGTGCTGTGTGTTGCCTGTGTCTTTTATCCGGGCTCACTCAGAGTCAGCTCAGTGTCTCTCACTAGAGATTTGCCGCTAAGTCATTTACATCTTCAATCAACAAATATAGGAAAAGTCGGGTGTGGTGATACACTCATGTAACCCAGCACTTGGTAAGTGGAGACAGAAAGATCAGGAGTTCAAAACCAGCCTGAAATCTAGTCTCAAAGCAACAACACAAAAACAAACAACCCTAGTTATGTGCCAGGGACTAGTGACATGGGACAGTGCACAAAGCCCTTTCTCTTTGTTTGGTGGGGGGGGGCACTATAGAGGAAGACAAGAGCAAACATATTCACTCAGGGAAGGGTACTGACAACAAACCGAAGAAATGATTTACCCAAGTTCTTCTTGGTGAACCAATAACTTTATTACGGTTACTTTTAGGAGTATAAATGACTCAAAAAACAGTTGCATCATCAAAAAGCTAACTCCAGCATGGGCAATGCCTAATTTTCAAGCAACCCCACCCGAGTCTCTTTAGTAATTACTGTCCATTGCAAAAGAAAAAAAGAAAAGAAATGTTTTCTGGACTGGAAAGGTGGCTCAGAGGTTAAGAGCACTGGCTATTCTTCCAGAGGTCCCAGCAACCACATGGTTGTTCACACCATCTGTAGTAAGATCTGGTGCCCTCTTCTGGCCTGCAGGGATACATATAGACAGAACACTGTATACATAGTATATAAATATATCTTTAAAAGAAAATGTTTTTTTTTTTTTTTTTTTTTTTTTTTTTTTGCTCAAGGCTGACAACAGCAGTAACCTATGAATATTATATAAATGCCTGGGAGGCAATTTGACAAGAACATTATATCCGTTAAACAGAGCAATAGCTGTGGTCTTGCTATTAGGGCCTATGATCTCCCCGGCTATGAGTTTTACCCTAATTTATAGTACCAAATATGAGCTTTGTCCTGTGGTGTGTGCCTTAAATCCAATAGAAAAGCACCTATAACAGCCATGCCACTATTATTCCAGAGGGCACATTTTTGCCTGGCATGTAGCCCATATAGAGTTTATAACAGAGTAAGACTGTGACCTGTCTCTTAACAGCCCACACAGTTCCTTCCAGTACTACAAAAGGCAGCCAACAGGGAAGGAG